GGATGGCCCGATAAGTACTTAGCCTACAAAAGAAAAACGAAAATTTTGGAAAAGTGGCGATTTATTTCTCAACATAGTCTCCTTTTAGCTCGATACAATTGACTCAGCGATGCTCAAACTTCTTTAACCCATCTGAAAAATACGTTTTCTCGAAGCTGCAAAGGCCTCCGTGGCGGCGATGACCTCCTCATTCGACTCAAATTTCTGCCCGGCGAGTGACTTTTTCAAGTTTGGAAAGAAAAAAAAGTCGCACGGGGCCAAATCTGGAGAATACGGTGGATGGGGCAGCAGTTCGTAGTCAAATTCGATCAATTTGGCCGAATGAGGAGGTCATCGCCTCCACGGAGGCCTACTTTGCAGACTTCGAAAAAACGTATTTTTCAGATGAGTTAAAGAAGTTGGAGCATCGCTGGGTCAAGTGTATCGAGCTAAAAGGAGACTATGTTGAGAAATAAATCGCCACTTTTCCAAAATTTTCGTTTTTCTTTTGTAGGCTAAGTACTTATCGGACAGCCCTCGTACTTTGTCGCACAACATCGTGTTCTCTACTGTCACAGTTAATTTTATGAGGTTATGTCGATTAAATTTCGTGTTTTAAAATTGCATTAGGTTGGTATTATTCAGTATCAAATTTGGCGGGAAAAAGTTTCCACTTAAATAAGTGCTACAGTATATTAAATGTTGAGACCGAGAATTAATTTATACGCCTAACATAAAGCCCATATCAGCTCTATTGACTTTGAAGGCCGATCTGATTGGCGGTGACGAATTTTGACTTTTGAAGGGCTTACCATAGTGAAGTGTCATGTAACTAGTATGTTGTAAGTGGTCCATTAAGAGTTAGCAGTCATAATCTGCCGTCGAGTCGGCCTTCACAGTCGGCAATTTGATACAGTGAATTGATCTAAAACTGAACTAAAACAAATAGTCTGTTCTTTTTAGTTGCACCAGTTCAGCAGTGCAGTTAAAAAGAACAGACCAAAGGAGACAAAACCGAAATTTGTTGATTCGTTAAAATCCAATCTCCAATCTCTAGTCTGATACGGACTTAACACATAGGTCCATATTATTTCATTAATTTTATCGAAAAATGAGTTCAGAATATGGACCATAACATCATTTCTGATCATTTTTAGATAACACGTTTTTTTTAATCTAAGATGAAGATAAATATATATCGTATTTTTCTCATCTAGATAAAAATAAAGATGATCTATTCATTTGTAGATTATTATTTAATTTTATTTAGTTTCATAGAATTTTATCTAGATACCGACAAACACTGGTTAAGATTCATGTGTCCACACTTTGGCTGTCCTTGTTTGATGATATTGAAGCGAAAAATCGCATATCAAAATACGAGGGTGGATCAAATTTAAACGAGCCTTTTGCGAAAAAACATATGGAAGTCGCATGGTGACAGGTCTGGGCTGTACGGTGGATGTTCTAGGACAACCCAGTGAATATCGGCCAATTTTTGTTGTGTTAGTGCTGCGGTGTGGGACTGGCGTTGTCATGGAGAAGCAACACACTTCTGATCGGAACGTCGCGCCTTTTTGACCGATAGGCAGCTCGAACTGAAGTTCCTGAGAGATTTCAAGAACAGTTAAGTGCCGATCGCCTTTGATGAATTCTCGAACAGCCTTGGTGTTCTGCGCTATGATGCTAGTGCGGGGACGGCGGCAATGTTTTCAACACGTCCTTTCTTAAATTTTTTACACCACTGCTTCACCCGAGCCCGTGAAAGAGTTTTTTCTCCGAACTGTCGGAGTAAACGGCGTCGAATTTCAGCAGCATTTACATTTTCGTTGACGAGAAACTTAATAATAACACGTTGTGCCACTGCGGGGTGTACCTCTTTCTCGCTCACCGTGATTGCTGCTGAGAGTAAGAAGCACATGGCGCGCCAACGTTATTACTGCCTTCCATATGACCCCCCCCTCCACTGTCCAAAACATTGCAGACCCCTTTCCCATTTATCTAATAGTTATGTATATTATATAAATATAATTGCTATTATACATGATCTAATGTTTTCAAGTTGTATTATGTTATAAACAATATCCAGGGAACATCAACTAACAGTAACATAACATCAATGTTATAATTTATCACTTAACAATGTAAATGTAATATAATACGTTTGTAATATAATAGTTCCATGGCATTTAATGCATTAGAGTTACCATGTTTTATAACTGCTATGTAATACAAACAACAAACATTATATTGCATTAGGAAAACAATATTATATTTGAATAATATTTCTACATATTATTGTAACGTCATGTGTAAAATTTATATTGTATATCACATTTTATAACATTTATATAGCTAACGTTATATTACTTGTTATTTCTCTGTATTATATTACTGCAATAACCGATGTTTACTGGTTAGAAATTTCTATCGCCTCTTTATCGCCTCTTAATCGAGTTTCGCAACTGATAAAGTCAATTCATATGATCAAGGTTACAGGCAGATATGGTGCTGCTTGTTGTATAACGAATGAAATTATCATCATGTTATCTACTCGAAACATTCGCAATGTGTCCTAGTGAGAAACAACATATGGTATCAGACATGTTGAAATATCATGCGCACATAAAGCTTTATTTTTTCTAACCTCTGTTTTTTGACTGTATTCATATTTTTCGTGCTAGATCAAATTCGAATTAATCTGAAGGATTTAGTCTGATGAAAAGAATTGGCTTATGAAAAAATATAGCTTTAGTCTTACATATAGCAGTACGATTTTTATTCAAATTGTTTATTTACCCCTCTTTATAACTGACTTAAGAAAATAAGTTATGTGTATATATGCTATTCTTATTTGCAACGATATATATGTTATGCAACAAGCAAGAAATTATTAAGGTATTATTAGAAATTGATTTTTACGAAAGTAACACTCGTATGCATAATATAAGCAGCATGAATGATATCTTGCTTTCGCAGATAAATATTGTTGCGTAAAGTACGACCGATATCTTACAACGCAAAATTATGCGTAATAAACACTATTGGTATATTATAGGGACATAGCTATAAGTGTAAAATCTTAGGAAATAAATAATTGGCGTGATAACAAAAATGGCTATATCAATTTAATGTTATCTGTTATCTGTATAATCTGTTATCTTCGGCAGATAACGGAGTAAATTATTGTAACACTTTAAAAAAGATTGAAAAAAATTTTCGCAGTTAAAGTCGTCGGTTAAAAGCCCATAAACCCCATTTCTGTGATAGTAACAGAGTTGTAGGCACTATCTTTAAAGGCACATCTATTTTGGGGTATAGTACCAGACTGTATTTTCTCAGAAGCATATCTAGACCTGCTTTTATCTGCAACAGAGCCATTATCGTTCCAGTGCAGGTTCGCATTATCTCACTGAAGGGAAGGAAAGTGAAGTTACATAGAGGCTTCTTTAATTAATAACACGAAAATAACAGTAATAATATCAAAATGTAGTAATTCCCCACCCAACAATGTAAATGCAATAACGCGTGTGTTATGTAAAACTTATATCATTTTGTGGCAAATTCTAACATTGATGTTATGTCACAGTTAGTTATAAGATATTTCCTGAGGTCGAAGCAAATAATCTCTTGACTTTAAACTAACATTATTTCTTACTTGCGATAGTATGAAAGTACGCAAGTTAAATCTTTCAGCTCAAACGCTGTTACATCATTACTCTCTCTCATTGACATTCGCAGATTGTTTTAGTTTTGCGTACATAAACAAGAGGTGTGTTAATAATAGTAAGAATAAGGGCTAAAATTGAAATTGCAAGATCTGTATTTACTGACATCAATAATATTTATATTTCAGTATGTTTTATCTCTGTTCCTCAATTCATTTTTATTTCGGTTCTATTGACGCATTCTTGATAAGCGTGTAAAGCTGCAGTGATAAAAATTAAAAATAAGAGTTTAAATACAATAAAACACTCGCATACATCCTGTCACGTTCATATGCGTAAATAATATATATACATTTAATATATATAATTAATATATATAATATATACATTTAATATATATAAATCAAATATATACATTTAATATATATAATATGTGTGTAATATGTGTTTAACTTGCGCAACTAACTCTAATATTATTTAACAGTTAAGGCTGGTAATTGTAAATATATGTTTATTTGCATATAAATTCAACTATATATAATTAATTATGTCACGTTTTCTACAATGGGTGAAAATAACATAAGGGGTTAGGCCAGTCTAGGATTTTCAAAAAATCGAAATTTTTTTTTGCTTAAAGTACACTTTAAGGTCCTAAAAACATTATTCAATTGGTAGAATAGTGAAAAAAAATTGTTTCCCTGTCCAATCCGCTGTAGTGTCGAAGCGTTCGGAGCAGGCGACGAGCGCATTTTCTACCTGCCGCGGCGGGCTTCCTTTTGTCCCCTTTTTACGACTCTTACCCTCTGCACTAATGTACCAACGGGGCCTGAGGGCTCTAATGGTTCCCCAAAAGGTCGTTAGGAAGTGCTAGTTCATCAATACAGCTGTATGTGTGGGCTTGTGTGTGGGTCAGTCAGCTGAAAAACGACGCCACGCGTGGACGCTTCTTTTTGTTTTCGTTAGTTTTTCTGCTTCAACGAATTACTTTATTGACTACAGTGGTTTTTACTG